GATATAAATAGCAACCTGTGCGAGGTTGCATGCTTCCCACAGCAGAAAATGTCACCTGAGACACGTAGTAAATTGCATCTCTTTGAACTTTCCCAGAGTCAGCACTTCCACTTTTGAGTAAATTATACATTCCAGCACGCAGCGGTCCTTCAGGCGGCTGAGAGCAGAACCCAGACAACAACAGTCGAAAGGTGTTGGAGAGGGGCGCCTGGGTGGCTCAGTCAGTGAAGCATCTGCCTTCAGCTCAGGTCATGATCCTGGGGTCCTGGGATCGAGTTCCCAGGTCAGGCTCCCTGCTCAGTGGGGAGTCTGCTTCGCCCTCTGCCCTCTGCCCCCATCACTCATGCTCTTTCTCTCTCTCTCAAAGAAATAAAATCTTAAAAGAAGAAAGGAAGGAAGGAAGGAAGGCAGGCAGGCATTAAGAAAACCATAGAAACACCATGGACACGAGGGACTAAAATTCCAGAGAGGTGAGGACTGCTAGAAATGACAACGACAATGGCAGTTGGCAGCTCTTTTCTGCCAGGAGCATCTGCTAGGCCTGGCTGCTGACAGGCTCTGCTGGGGGAGGAGAGAAGCCCCCAGAGCAAGCAGCAGTGGAGGCCAGAGGGGCTTCAGACCACGGCTGGCTTCCCCACAAGACAGTGGCCGAACGGCAGGTACACGCCGGTCTAAAGGGACAGGCTGAATGTTTCTGAAAGGTCGAGTAAAATTTCCCTCATATTTACAGTGCTTAGAAAGTGAAGACCTTGCCAAGGGGTCTGGAAAAGAACAGCAAAGGCATGAAAGCCCCAGAGAGAGTGGGGAATCGACGCTGGGCCTCTCTCTGCCCCCTCCCCTGGGGAGGGCACTTGCCAATGTGGTAGGAGCTGAAGGCTGAAAACCCATGCTTGGCCCTTGGGAAAATACAGACCAACAGGGATTTTGGAGCTTGAGTGACAGAATTGGGGATGAGCGGCCCCAGACACATGGGCAGTTTCTCCTTCGAAGGTTTGCCGAATTTGGAGGTTAAAATTTGGGAGGCTACAGAGCAAGGCTGAGGAGCTCTGACGGACAGAACGGAATCTCTTAAAGTCTTTCGGGGAAGAGGAGATAAAGACCTGCCAGGCTCCCAACTGAAAGCCCTCATGGGCCTGCTCAATGGAAACCGGGCCCTGACCCAGCTCCGTCCCTGAGCGAAATAGGGATTTCCTATATTCCCTACTTCCCTGCGGACAAAAGGGGGAAACTTTCTTTTATAGGCAATGATGTCACATGGAATCCTAACAAGTTCTTTCATACCCATTTCCCACCGTACAGTGAAAAAGGACTGGACCCCCAGAAAGGCAAGACCATATGCGTAGAATCAAGAGAAGCAAAACCCAGATTAGTAGGAGCAGGTTCCAAAATAATCCAGACAATAGAGTCAGCATCAAGGATTTCTAAAGAACTATGATTAATTAATAGAGTCAAGGAAATAGAGCGGAAAAATGGACAACGTAGGTGACAGGAAGGAGGATATCCCCCCAAGACTTCAAATGTTTTTTTTTTTTTTAAAGAATCAAATGGACGTTCTAGAACTAAAAAAATGCAAAGTCTAAAATTAAGAGTTCAATGACTCGGTTTAGCAGCAGATGGGATATATCAGTAGCCAGGATTAGTGTGCTGGAGGACAGACCAATAGAACATATCCAGATTGAAACAGAACCAAGAATCAGGGTGAAAAACTGGTAAGAACATAAACTGTGTTGGATGCACTCAGGAGGTCTAGCATTTGAGTACTTGGAGTCCCAGAGGAGAGGAGAGAAGACGGAGCAGAAGCAATATTCGTAGAATGGTTGAGAATTTTCCAAAAAAAAGAAAATCCAGCCTACAGATTTGAGAAGCTGAATGAACCCCCAAACAGGATACAGATTTAGCTCTTGAAACCAGTTCATCATTGCTTTGTAAGTAGTACGTACATTATTTTCCTTTTAACCACTTATTAGTTGTGTGACCTTGAACATGTCATTTGACTTTGTTGAGCCTTAGTTTTCCCATCTGTAAAAATGGGGATGAGATAGAAGACTGTATGAAAAAGTGCCTTAGGAGGTATTCATTGCAAAGAAATACCAGGGGCCCTCGCCTTTATTATTCCAGCCTGACTGACCCCAGGACAGCGTGTTTGGGGCGGGCTTTAGAGTTGTGTCCTATACTCTGCGCCACCTCTGTCCTCTGCCTTTCAAGAGGGCTTTGGGGAGGGGATGTGGAGGCTGACCTAGAGGCACGGCACAAAGATCTAGAATGAATCCAGGTTTCTGAATGAGTCTGGTGATTGCTTTGCCCTCCCAGGATTCTGGTAATTCGGAGCTGACCGGGGTTGGCTTTCTGGGATCGCGTGATCTACTCTGATCCAGCGCCCCGCCACACGCCTGCCCTAGGCCTGCTTTGATTCCACCGTTTCAGTCCCGCCTGGGAGCTGAGCCAGACCCCAGCCAACCTCTGTGGTCCCTGAAGCATTCCTTTATGCTTGCCCCCGGTTTAGGTCACATTTTCCACGTCCCACTCCCCCGCCCCCCTCTCTGATAGTGTCAGGTGACTCGGGCAGAGCTCTGGACCCGCCCTGCTTGCATCCAGTTATCTGAAAAATGCTTGATCACGTGTCTTCACTCACGTGGACTTTGGTCTTCCAGGAGTTATCACGGTCAGAGGGAAAGAACCCGGAGTGCAGTGGAGGCATCGGGAACTCCCGGGTGGGGACCAAGGGAGGTCGTCCGGTACAGAACAAGAAGCACGTTGTATAGAGGTTGCGAGTTTTATCTCTAGGCTCTGCTCCTTACCAGGTCCTTTTCTTCCTCGGTGACATGGAGGGGATAGTCCCACCTCTCAGGCTCACGTGGGCTGATACAAGTAAAGCACTCAAGACGTGCTCAATAAATAGTACTTGCTGCTCTTAGTATTAACTTCCAGAAGTTATTTTGCCACATAAACAAGGTTTATACTTGAGCTAATGCCTTCTTAGAAAACTCAGTAGGGGGGCGCCTGGGTGGCTCAGTTGGTGAAGCGTCTGCCTTTGGCTCAGGTCATGATCCCAGGGTCCTGGGATCGAGTCCCGCATCCAGCTCCCTGCTCTGCGGGGAGTCTGCTTCTCCCTCTCCATCCACCTCTCCCCCTGCTTGTGCTCTCTCTTTCACTGTTTCTCTCAAATAAATAAAATCTTAAAAAAAAAAAACCAAAAATGGGTGTTTTCGTGTGCACATAGCAATGATACCTCTGTTTCTAGAGGTGACTGTAACTCCCTGCCTGGCTCTCTTTATTAGTTAAGGTAAGAATCTATGTCCAGAAGGTCTGTCCTTCAGCAAAATAATTGAAGTTCCTACCATGGAAAGCCAGGCCATGCTAGTCAGCGTTTTCTCTTCCCTGTTTTATCAGTTGTAAGTGTTCAGAGTTGACTGTTGAGAACGCACATTTCCTTAATAAGTAAAACTTGTAGTAGATTTATCCTTTAGAATGTTTACAGGCACACCTCAGAGATACTGTGGCTTCAGTTCCAGACCACTGCAATAAAGTAAAAGTCACAATAAAGCGCGTCCAGTGAGTGTTGTGGTTTCCCGAGGAAGTATAATCGTATGTTTACACCCTGCTGCTGGGTGCTGAGCGTGCGATAGTATGATGTTTGAGAAAAGTACACACCTTCACTAAAAAAATGCTTCATCGCAAAAAAAATGCTAACTGTCCCCTGAGCTTTTGGTGAGTTGCAGTTAGCGATCACAGATCACCATCACAAGCACACTAATTGAAAATGTTTGAAATATTACAAGAATAGTCCAAATGTGACGCCAAGACACGAACTGAGCGAATGCTGTTGGGACAATGGCGCCAACAGACTTGCTTGACGCAGAGTTGCCACAAACCTTCAGTTTGTAAAAAATGCAATTATCAGTGGCGCTTCGAAGGGTTTCTGCCAGAGTGAGCCTGTCGTTGATTATTTACTAACACTTATCAGTTGTTCGGGGATTATTTATTGACATGTCTCTCCCCTCTCCCTGACTTCCTGCAACGGGAGGATCGGGAGCCCTGACTCATCCATCTCTTGTCTTTGGTTAACAGACCGCCTGACAGGTAGAGAGATGCTCAGTAGATATTGATGCGTGAACACGCCACGTGCTGGATATTCTCTTTTTACGCCTCCAGCTTTATTCTGCGCCCTTGCCACCCTCCTCTGGTCTCCGAGAGGCTGATCTGCAGACTCCAGCCTTGGGTCCGCGGGGCCTCTGGCTTCTGGTTGGGGCTGGCTGGTGGCAGGAGACCACAGGGGAGAAGCGAGGGTATCTGTTCCGCTGGCTCCCCACTGGTGGGATGCCGTGTGTAGACGGTATGTCTAGACAGCCTGCTGTCCGTGGCTCTGGCCTTCCAGCCTGTAACCTCTTCCTCCCCCCATCCTTTTAGGCCAAGGAGGGGGCAACGTTTAGCGCCCAGTCCCTGCACCACGGCCGACAGCTTCTCTGTACCCAGCTCTGACCTCTACCGTCACTTTCTTTGTCAATTAACCCTCCACAGATTATCCCGATTGGAGCATACCTTCTCCTTTTTGTCGGGAAACAGTGAGCCCCCATCGCTGACGGAGGTTCTAAGTTGTTCAGGCTGCACACGGTGGCTCCAGGTGCTTAAAAAAGTGCACAGCGCAGTTCCTCCGAGAGTGGGCGGCGTGGCTAGTGGCCATTAAGGGCCGTTGATGTGCGGAAACTTTGAGGAAATAAACAGCAGTTTGGGATACTATTCTCTCCTTAGGGCAGACTTTCTCCTGCTGACTGTGAGATCTTACTTCAGAGCGACTGTCTGTTTTCGAGGCTCTGAAATTACCGCTTACCGTGGTTGTGTGTCTGAGTCAGCATGGGCTGTGCTGGGAGGACCCAGGGCCAGGTGCGGCAGAGGGGGGTGCACATGTTGGGCACTAGCTGCACCAGCCCAAGACTTTGTAAGACACTCCGTCCGTGTCAGATTCAGTGTTTACCTCCTGTTCTTCTGGCTCTTTCCTGCAGGTGATTATAAACAGCACCATCACACCCAATATGACCTTCACCAAGACGTCGCAGAAGTTTGGGCAGTGGGCTGACAGCAGAGCCAACACGGTGTTTGGCCTGGGGTTCTCCTCGGAGCAGCAGCTGACAAAGGTAACGCGGTCGGTCCCTGGATGCCGGGGGTCTGAGCGGCGCCGCTGCCGAGCAGGATTCCTCTCCAGTCTTTGATTTTAGCTCTTCCGGCGCCGCAGGGCTGCCCGACCAGATGACCTTTTAGAGACCCCAGGTCCGTCAAAGTGGAGGCGTCTTTGGGGAAGGAAAGCTCACGTGACATGTGTTCCTGCAGAGCCTGAGGTCGCAGCCCCAGCAAACCGCTCTGCCGGTGGTTCCTTTCCCACGTGGGGCCCCCCTGATCCCTGTGCCCCGCGTGTGCCCGGTAGCAGAGGGAGGTGCTGCTGAATGCTTACAGCAAGCAGCTCCCGCCCTGGAGTCCCTGCACCCCTTACGACGTCACACAGTGTTTGGAGTGTGGGTCGCTTTTTTTTTCTGGGGAAAGGATTCATAGCTTTGATTCGATTCTCTGAGTTGCTTGGGACACACTCTGTGGACCGTCAGAAAGGTGTTGAGGAACGGATCGTGACCAACCCGGGCTTGGAGAACACCAAGGTCTGCAGGAGCAGACTGAGCGCCTCTGATTGGCAGGGCCAGGGCTTGTCTGAGCGAGTGGGTTTCCTTGTAGGCTGCTGGAAGAGCCTGTGCGGGTGTGGACAAGGCATTGCTTGAAAGCAAGATTGGCTGCTTTCCAGGACCCAGGAACTTACGGGAAGGATGTCAGAGGGTCTCAGAGAATCCGAGGGAGAGTGGGAAGAGAAGGGCTGGAGCCGGGCTGCCTTCAGGAAGCTCGGCTTCAGGACTTGTTTCTCTCTAGACAGTTGCCGTGAACATATTTACTGAACTCTGGCTGGGCCAACACGGTGCTAGGTGCCGAGGATGCAGACTGTAGTCCGTCCCCTGAGGCGTTTACAAAATTCCAGATTCCAGGGGACTTGAGTGGGTCACTTAGTATGGACCTGACTGCTTGGGTTCCCTGTGTATACTGAAGACAGCTTTCAGAGAAGGGGGATGAAGACAAGTCCAGAAGCCCCTGTGCAGGGGCCCTCGGATTTGCACCTCGCATCTGTCCAGCACGTGAGCATGTGCTGTGTGCACACACGCATGTACACACTTATGCACACACGCACATTTCTAAGGAGGCGCCATCCCACAGATGCAGCCATCCTACCTCCAGCCAGAAATGAGCCCCTGATGGCGGACACCCCACAGACGGTCCTCTTCTGCATCTCCACGTACTTCCGTGGGGATGCCACGCCCTAAGGAGCCCCAGAGACTCAAAATGGCCTGGTGGCACTCTGAGCATCCCTCTCATGCCCACCTGCTCACAGAAGCGTTCTTTCCTAGGTACCAAAACCTCCCCTCCAGGGGCACCTGGGTGGCTCAGTTGGTTAAGCGTCTGTCTTTGGCTCAGGTCATGATCCTGGGGTCCTGGGATCGAGCCCCGAGTCCAGCTCGCTGCTCAGCAGGGAGTCTGCTTCTCCCTCTGCCGCTCCCCCTGCTCGTGCTCTCTCACCGTCTCTCAAATACATACAATCTTTAAAAACTAATAATAAATAAAACCTCCCCTCCAGTTCACCAGGGCCCTGACACACAGGGAAGGAAGCAAAATTCTTGAGTCTAGGTCATTGGGTATAATTGTGAGTATAATTCCCCTCTGAGGAGAAGCACCATGTCCCACGACACTGGAAAGTGTGTATTCCAGCAGACGGCCCAGCAGAGTTCTCTAAGGTGGGAGGACCAAGAATTCTTGGCTTCATTTCGTTTGCGGAGAAGTGAGTTTGCTGGTTTGAGGCAGTGCTGTGTGGTATAGACGACCTTAAGCAGGTCTCTGAGCAGCGGGGCCGGCATAGCCGTGACAGACCGTAGTGTCTGTCACGTGAGGATGAGTCACTGTTTGCTCTGCATGAGGGGGCCCAATGCAGTCAGCTTTTCACCAAGCAGCTGGCTGGTCACTTAGGGGTGTGATGCAGAACTGGGGCCTCAAGCTGGATCAGTGTGGTTGGCAGCGGGCCCTCCGCAGGTCAGAGGTTGGGGTGGCCTGGAGAGCGGGAGTGGTCAAGGTCACATGGGCCCCCAGGCCCTAGGCTACCTGCAGGAGGAGAATGACTGGGTGTCCACAGATCGGCCCTTCCTGCCCCCTGGTTTTAAGGATTCCCTTTGGTGTGGAGGTGGGGAGTTCAGGAGAGCATTGTCTTAGTCCGTTTGGGCTATGTTTTTTTTTTTTTTTTAAGATTTTATTTATTTATTTGACAGAGAGAGAGACAGAGCAGGAACACAAGCAGGGGGAGTGGGAGAGGGAGAAGCAGGCTTCCCGCCGAGCAGGGAGCCCGATGCAGGGCTCGATCCCAGGACCCCGGGATCATGACCTGAGCCGAAGGCAGACGCTTAACGACTGAGCCACCCAGGCGCCCCGTTCGGGCTGTCATAACAAAACGCCACACACCGAATAGCTTATACACAACAGGAGCTGGTTTCTCAGAGCTCTGGGGGCTGGAAGGCTGAGATCAGGGTGTCCGCACCGTCAGCTGCCAGGGGAGGCCCACAGCTTCTCACCGTGCCCTCACATGCTGGAAAGAGAGCAAGTGAGCTCTGTGGGGTCTCTCATAAGGGTGCCAATCCCATTTATGAGGGCTCCCCCCCTCGTGACCTCGTCACCTCTCAGCGGCTCCCCCTCCTGATCCATCACATTGGGGGTTAGGATTTCAGCATGAGAATTTGAAGGGGACACAGACCTTCAGCCAGTTGCAGGCATTCACGTGGAATGGGGGTATTTTCAGACTCCAGTTCCATTGGGGCCCCCGGGTTCCACCGGTGTCGCTATTCCCAAGTCTGTTTGTCACTAACCTTCCAGCTTGCTTTCTTCCCAGTCCCTGCCCAGGCAGCGAGGCCCCTGGCCATTTCCCCAGGATTCAGTGCAGATCCTGACCCCAGGCCACCTGCCTCGAGCACGCTGGACACGGAGCCAGTCCAAGTCATGCCCCCAGGGGAGGATTTCCCTTCTCCATCATCCTCCACGTAACAGCAGCAGCGTGAGCAAAGTCACGACACCCCAGGAGGGGGGCTGTGAACAGGGTGTACGGGTTTTGGGGTGGGCAAGGCTGTGGCCAGAGGCCAGCTCTGGACTTGCGACTGTGGCCCGTGAAGGATTTCAAACCAAGAAGGAAAACGATCAGATTGATCAGCTTGGCATTGTAGGTAGATTTTCCTGGCAGACCAGGTTGTTCTGGTCCAGATCACGGATGACGAGGGCCTGAGTAGGAGCTGGAGAGGCTTGGGAGCTACCGAAGAGCTGAACTGGTGGGACTTGGTGAGTGGACGGTGGGCGGCAGGGGCTCTGGGATGAGGACAAACTGACGGATGGACGGATGGAGCTGCCGTTTTCTGAAACGAGGAAGAGCAAGGGTTGTGAGAATCAGAGAATTTATGTGACGTGGAAGCAAGTATGATGGTGATTTGTTGAACAGCTGGTGCCAGCACCCCTGCCCGAAGTGGGCAGCAGGGATTGGGTGCCTTCTCCCTCTGAAGGAGTGCCTGGCGGGGACAGGGGTGGGGGGACCCCCTCCCCCACTGGCTGGTGGCCTCACAGCTCTGGGAAAGCCCGTGGAGACGCAGAGGCTCCTGTGGGAGGCAGGGCCCCAGCGGGCTGTGAGGTTGCGTGCCCCTGACCCCGCCTGAGGCTCCAGGCCTTCCAGAAGCCCAGACAGTCTGACAGAATCACTCTCTGCTGCCTGGAAGAACTTCTTCAATCTTTGGAGGAATCAGAAGAGCTAGGAAACATAAACGGGGAACATTTTTAATGAAAAGAATCGAAAGCAGGGAGAACTCAAAGCAAAAATCAGAACAAATTGTTAAAGTTCACTTCCTTGTGCCCCTGAGACCCAGGGAGACCTCAGGCCATGCCTGCCTCCCCAAGCGGCCACTCCTCATTTTTCCCAGGCAGAGGAAAACGTGCTGTCATTGAGGAGGGCCCTGTCCTCCCGAGCCACTCTGGCTTCTCTGGCAGTGCTGGAGTGTCCGTGCTGCGCCCCGCGACCTGCCATTGTCACCAAGGCTTAGCCCATGTCTCCTTTGTTCAAAATGTTTCGAGTCAACTTCTTCCCCTTCTCTGTGAAGGGAACGATTAGCCTCACACCGGTAAATTACCATCAAGTGAGGCTGGCAGTCTCGACACGTGGCATTTAGCTGGCAGAGAGGAACTTGGGCCTGAGGGCCCCCGAGGCGTGTGGCTGAGGGGACAGCTGTGGCTGCCTATTCCTGACTCCACAGAGCAGCCACCCACGTCCTGGAGGAGGGTCGGTAATCACACCCTGTAACGAGGCTAGATGAAGGAACGCCGGTGTGGCTACTTCCGTTTAAGCACACTTTATACACACATCTCTCTCTACCGCCCCCCCCGAAGGAAAATAGATACCCTGGTCTTCGCTGCTCCCACCCCTACGGACCCCTTCACACCACAGTCCCAGAAGTGTGACAGGGACACTTTCTGCTCTTGAGACAGGCTCTCCAAAAATAACAGTTGCTGCCCATTCCCAGAGGTAAACCGGGGCTCGTCTGTCCACCCACCGGAGGGGACGTGGTACCTCGGCCTCCTGAAGACCGTTGGAAGGGGCTTGCACATGCTGATGAAAGGAAGAGCTGCCGAATGGAGACAAAAGGAAGGAGATCCACAAGTAGGAGTGAGCCAGTGCTTAAAGCGAAGGTGCTTTCTGGCAGCTGACCTTGAGACGTCATTGTCCTGAGTTTGGTTCCGGGTCGCTTATCACAGACAGAAGGAAGCACATCCTGCCACAAAGGAGGTGATCCAGGATGGGGTTGCTAGTGTTCTGTGATTGATTCTCTCTCTCTCACTCACACACACACACACACACACACACACACACACACACACACACACACACACACACACACACACACACACGGCGTTTGCTGTTGACCCATTTTAATGATTTCATCTGTAATTCAAATTTGTATGGTTAGGTTCACCTCATCAAGTCCGTGTAGCTGGAAGAACATTGCTCTGTCTTTTCCCTTTCTGGTTT